GAAGGCGTTAAAGATGAGTCAAGTGGCGCACTTGACCTCACGGCTTCCAGCAGCTTCACCCCAAAAGCAATTAAGGAAGAGCCTGGCATGTTATTTTCAAATGGAGACTATGGTAAGTTTACAAGTTGAGTGAAGTGTATTAGATGCTGTCATCTTGAATGTGTAGACCTAATCTTCAATCTTTCTGTATTAGTAGCTTCCAGTAACATGCCTTTCATGAGGATACCACCAACGTTGGCCAGTCTAGAGATGAAGATTCCCCCAGAGAATCCTCTGGGCCCTCACGGGTTGTTCAGCTCCCATGTGCCTCAGGGAACAGCCATGCCCTCCTCAGTCTCCCCTGCGCCACGACGATCAGCCAAACCACATGTGTGCCATGTCTGTGGCAAGAACTTCTCATCTGCCAGTGCCCTGCAGATCCATGAGCGCACACATACAGGGGAGAAGCCTTTCGCCTGCCACATTTGCGGCAGGGCTTTCACAACGAAGGGAAATCTAAAGGTGAGTCATCACTTGTCTGAGAAATGGTTAAATTAGGCATTAGAGTTCATGTATATAGATGATGTACTGAAAAATAAGCGTTTTTTTTGTTTGTTTTTGTTTTTTTTTTAAGGTTCATATTGGCACCCACATGTGGAACAACTCATCAAGGCGTGGCCAGCGTCTGTCTCTAGATAATCCCATGGCGTTGATTGCAATGACCCCAGATGCAAAGATGATGCCAGAAATGATGCAGGCCCCCAAAGAGCTGGTCGCTCCTCCGATGAACTTTGACCCATCTCTGTGGAACCAGTATGCGACTGCTTCCTTCAGTGGTGGCCTGACCATGAAGACCAACGAAATTTCTGTCATCCAGGGAGGTGGCATCCCACTCCCTGGGAGCCCTGCTGGTGGGCCCCTGATTGGCTCCACTGGGGGCCTCATGAAGATTGATGGATCCCACTCAGGCTTGCCTGCCACCATGGCTGAAATTGAGAAAAATGGCTCAGACAGTGTGCCAAAATCACAGTTTCCACATTTCATGGAAGAGGGCAAAATAGCAGTTAATTAGTTTCCCTTTTCTTTCTTTTTTTTTATCCATCAGGTAATAAACACATTCGCTTTTGTGAATGTCTCTCTTCTTTATTGAGGTACAATCAATATTCTGAGAAATCCTTGTTGATTTGCTGTTAAATTGGTTAAAAATGTCCAATTAACTTTATTGCAGCTCTTTTCCTCCTGATCTCAGTGATTCTTAAGTGTTATTACTAGTCAAATCTGTATAACTGCTAGGGATGCATCAATACAACAGCTCATTTTTTTGAAGGACATTGACAAAGAAGACTTGCTGATCTTTATGATTAATGTCTGTCTATTGTTGCATAAACTTCTATGGCATGGTGAAGCGCTGAAAAACTTTAGTAATTTAGTTATAAAAAGATTTCTCTGGTTCCCTGGTACAGAAGGGGAGTAAAATGACAATATCCCAAGCCCATGATTCCAGTTGGTGCATCCCTAAAAACTACTGTAGTTGTATTTTATTTCATGTAATTATATATGCGGGTATTTGTTTTCTTTTTTTTTCGTTTTTTTCCCGGTGAGTTGTTTTGTTGTCTCTCCAGAAATTGAATGTATAACTTACTTGAAACTGCTTTAATTCAAGACTGTCTCCTTGATACTTTTGAAGGATTTTGACTTTAATAGGAAAATAACCTGAGCTTGCCAGCCTGATGAGTCAGAAATAATGACGTATTTGACCACATGTGTCCATACTACTTCCCCTCCCGTTGTGTGCCATAGGTTACATGATATTGTACATATTTGTAGTGGTAAATGTTATTAGCTTGTCTGTAATTGAAGAGGCGTTCTGATCAGATTAATGTAATGGGCAATGCAAAAATCTCTCAAAGTGCAACAGTTCAGTCATAGCTGCATTTTTGTTGCACTGGCGCCAGGATACAGTAGTTAATAACTTGTACCCTTTTCCAAGTGCCTAGTCTGATTTCATGGCACCATCTGGTTGTAACAAAGGTGCTGTTTGACTTGAGATATTGTGTTGTGACATGGCATGTGTATCACATCTTTGTCAGCTTACTAAAATCATTTTTTTACACCCACGTAGTCCACTTCTACAACCACGGAGTCAAATTTTGTTGGCTGAGCTCTGAAGGCTATCCCATGCTTAATGTTCTCATGCCTGCACTTTATTTAAGGTTTTAGTTTCATTTACATTGTATAAATACATTTACGTCACTGCTTAATTGTACTGGCTAAAAGGGGAAGAGGTCAAGCCAACATTTGTGTGTATTTCCTTCCTGTAACAAACAGCTGTTTACGGTTATATACAACTTTGTAGCATGATTAATTTATTTATATTACACAGTGCTTGAGTTTAGGGGTAAGTTCTACCTCGCTTAGATTTTAGTTGTCCCCCACATGCCCCCTACACTCAATGCAATGCTCTGTACGTTTCTGGGTACATTGTTTAGTTGTTTTTTTTTCCGATAATGCGATAAGATTTCTCACTCTCAACCTGCTGAGTTGAACAGTAATGAATGTATGTCTGACACTTTACACAACTCAGAATGGTCCAAGTGCTTTGTAGGTCCCTGCTGTACATTCCTTATTGATATGCATTTGCCAAGTTGTGCCTTTCTTTAGCAACCATGTCAGAAACTGCTTTCAAGTTGTCTCTACAGTTCAAGTGATGTTGAGCCAGTTTGATCTGTTTACAGTGTAAATATTTTTTTTTTCAAAGGTTTCCTTCACGTAAATGTTTTCTGATTTTTGAAAAATAAAATCAGGGTGACTTTTTCAACATTCCTCCTGTCATTACTTCAAAGATCATCGAACTTTAGCGATGAAAATAAAACCAATAAATGCATTTTTAAAAAGCCTTAAGACTAGACAGCATTGTGCTAGCCACACCTCTAGGCTAATATTTATGGCTACACAGGCTTGTTTGAATGTACATAAAATCCCTTATTTACATAAATTCACCTACTGCAATTTTTATTTTCTTTTTCTAAATTCTCATTACCCAACAGGAGCTATTAATCCTTTGCCAGTTTGCATTCTCAACGAAAAACTATTTGCATCCCCAACTGAAGCATGCTGTCCAATCGTCCATTTTCGGTAAGCAGCACGGTGGCCTCTTCCTGAGGAATTTTGAAATGATCCATTAGTTTGCATAAGTCTCCCTATGGAATACAAAGTAGTTCCAGGCAAACAGAGTGAGCAGATATACAGAGAAACCTCTAATGCAAAAATACAGAATGGCAATCATAACCGTCAGATGTCTTTGTTGAGGAGAGTTGTTTGCATGTCAGCTCTTTTTAATAGTACCTTTTATGCAATATCATTTTAGATTTTGTAAGGGCTAACAAAAAGATGGCTCTGTAGTGTTGTGGTTTACACATTCACCCTACCAAGCAAAAGCTCCCCAGTTTGAGGAGACACAAATCCCTTTGGGGATGTGTCAGGAAGCACATCTAGTGTAAAAATCTGCCAAATCAAAACATGCAGAGCTACCTGCTGGGAAAAGCCTCGTGGTTAAGGAAGCAGCATTACAGACAACAAAAAGATACAAAGATAGTGCAATGTTTTATGCGTATATCTGAAACATGGTGCACGATAGATGCTTTCATTGTGGCTGCCTTTTCGCATCATTTTTTTAATCGACTCTTTCTCTGTCACAGGCTGAGGTCAAAGTTGTGGGATGCAAATTTAATTGCTGTAGGTTAAACTCATTATACAAATTTTACAATTTGCTACAGTCGTTTAAGTTTACCCTTTTGTCCTTGCTCGAACCTTTTTAAATAAGCACTTTCACAGTCTTATGAGATCTCTTCTAATGTGCTCAAAAATGCCCCAGTAGGCTGATGACTGGCCCATTTGACTGCATTACACTGGGGTGTGTTTTAATGTTGGACGCCTGGAGGGAAGGATGGATGGGTTCGATTCAGTTTTATTTACATAATGCCAAATCACGACAAGAGATGCCTCGGGGTGGTTTTTATTGTAAGGTAAAGACCCTACAATAATACAGAGAAACGCGTTTGACCAGGCTCAGGGAAAAGGAGCCTTCTGCCATAGATGGATGGATGGATTGAGCGATATGTGTTAATCACATTACAGTCTATCAGATCACATCACTTTCTACTCAGATTGTTTGTGGGTATTTTGGAAAGATGCTGAAATTAGTGAAAAATAAATCAATACCACTCCTTTCCAGTCTTAAGAGCCATGCTGAATAAGAATAGTGCTAGCGAATATGGATCATAAAAACTGCACAAACCTGTGTTTGGAGAAAAGCCTTACTGTCACCCAAACCATACCGCAACTGCAAAGCACAGTGGAGAGAACATCATGGTTTGGGGCTGCTTTGCTGCAGGCTTTGCGGTCATCAGGTAGCATTGAAATTAAAATGATAACATTTTATTTAACATAAACATTTATCAAGTAAAAGATATTGCACAGCTGAGTATCAGAGCAGCAGTCCTTGAGATGGTCCTATCAACAATGTCAGAAAAATGACAGAAATAATGAAAAAGGAAAAAAACAAGGGGTTGGAAGAGTTAATAATAAAGCCAATAATTTTTGATTAAAAAGAGAAGACCCCTCAGTCAAGACAGTCCAGAAATACTGTATGAAATTCAACAGCTTGTCTATTTTAATGTCAAATAAAATCTATGACACTTAATTCAGCTATTTTAATTTTTTAGTGCCAAATTTCACTTGATAATTGTTTGCTAATTTTTTTTTGTCTCTCTCGATTTTCTTTAAAAAAAAATTTTTTTTACTGTATTTATTTCTGATGTAATGTGTCCTGGATTTCCTGTACTCCTCACTGTGTCTCGTTCGTTTTTGGTCTTTCCTGTGCCACCCCATTGAAAAAAAAAATACTATTACTACTACTATACTATTAAAACTAAAACACCTTATTTGAAAAAATAATACAATAAGTAATTATTAATGACATGAGTGTGGTATAGTACTCCAGTGGGAGATTGGTTTGCTTGGTGTAGCACTGTCCCAGCACTGCTTCCCTGCTGTCACTCAGGGAAGCCTCCGCCCAGCAGCTCCACAGCCAAGCGGACTCCTTCCAGGTTCCACCCGCGACAAGGGGCTGCAGGAATGACCGACAATATCCCTCTACAACCCGTGAGGCGACCGAAGAGACACGACAGTAAACACAGAAATGGGTAAGGGCGTTATACAGCTCGGTATTATCACTGTGAAGCCATTTGTTTACGTGCTTCGCTCGTCGCATCTCCTGCTGTCACTGTGGCGGTTAAAAGTGTTTACAGGAGCGCGTCGACATTGTCTCAGAAAGAAACCAGCCAAGCAGCTTTCTGGGTAAAATATAACAGTACGGAGGGAAACATAAGGACGAGCAGCCCGTAGATGTACTAATAAATATGATGTTGCTATTCATTGTAGCTTTGAAACGGCTAATGTTAGCTGGGCACATCCTTGTTCCGGGGTTGCAGTAGCAAGTGCATTTAACGCCCATTGTCAATATTTGCTCGCCTGACATTAAGCTCGGGCTGTCTGCCCTGATTTAAATACATTCTGCCCCTAATTTTTACATACGGACGAAGTGATCCTCTGTAGTGTTATTTGACCACCACAAAAAGGGGCAGGCCTAAGAAATAATGATGGAGAAAGTGGAGAGACACAGTGCTGAAATGCTTCCAGCAGACTGATCAGGCTGCCATGGTGATGTCACCTCCCGTTATAAAGACTCAAGATCCTCGAACGAGCTATGATGTTGCAGAAATAAAGGCCTGCATATACACAAGGATGATGGGTGTATGATTTCTAGCTGGCAGTGTGATATATAGTGACCATTAGTGCAGCCAGTGCACTTTCTTTGCCTCCTACAGAGTGAGGCATGCCAAGGCGAGGGTTTATTTGTATAGCACACTTGAATAAGACATTTGAGGACCTTGCATAAGTCTTTAATGATATCAAAGAAACACGTATAAGTTGGATTTGGTGTAATAAAGTAAAATGATTGAGAATTAGAAGTGCATGCTTTCTGTCTAACATTCACACACATTCCAGTGGATGCCCAAAACATTATACCTATCTGCTTCTCGTTGTTTATGAGCTCTGTGTTTTTGAGATTATGTTACATAAAGAGATTTTGTTGTTTTCCATTAACTAAATAATCTAGAGCATTTAAGCAAAGGTGGAGCATGACTTTCTTTGTAAAGCTCCTTAGTAATTTTTTAAATTAAAGATATCAACAAACTATATCAACAAACTCTCAGGAGGTCGAGTGGGTCTCGACCTCCTGAGACACAGCTCTGTATAAAGCACTTACACATTTAATTTGTATTAAAAATTCAGGATGGGCGAATTGTTTGTTTCCCCCATTTGTGAAAAAAGGTTAAAAAATAATATGAGAAAAAATAATTAATATAAGTCTTTCATCTCTTCATCACGCTATCTTTGAACTTTGTTCCGGCACATAGTTCATCCAGCAACAACAGATAAACATGGCAGCCGACATCAGGAAAGGTCATCTCATTGCTGATAACAGTCCACATTTAGGTGTCCCATTTATTAGTGAATAAACAGCTTCTCTAACGGTTGATGTAAATATAGAATTCTACAGAAAGACTAAAAAGCATTAGAAAAATAATCAGTTGATATACAGTACTAACCTGTATTTTGATAACACGTACATGTAACGTAAGGGAGAACATTTTGAATATGTCAGCTTGGGTGTTTTAGCTACTTTTCACAGGTTAGCATAATGACTGCTCATTATATATGCCTGATACTACTCTAAACAGTTAATTAGGAAACACAGTATTGCATAACAAATACAGTTTAAATTGTCTGGATGGGTGGGTTTGAATTGCCATTGCACCAAAGTCAGATTAATGGCCTGTGTTATGCTTTCCATGTTCATTCTTTCTATGTCTGCAAGTATGAGGGGGTCTAAGTGACGTAAATATCATCACTGCAGGGTTGTTGAATTATTGCTACGGTGCTATGATGTTTTTCTTTTAATTTGTCAGGCCTGGCAGACAGGATATTGTTGGCATCTAAGACTTGAGTCATCTGCCATAAAAGTCAAATATGTAGTTTACAGTTAGGTTCAATTATTAATCGCAAAGCCACTGAGCTGTTCGTTGGATTTTACGAAATGCTTTGTTTTCTTAGTCTGAAGGGAGTGACCAGCTTTTCCAAGATAAAGTTAATATTTATTTTTCACGGCATGATCTTTCCAGACACCTTTGGTCATGGGTCTGTAGCTCAGTGCAGTGTGCGCTGTGGGATTTGGCTACAATAAGCAACACATTAACAAGAAGATGTGAGAGGAAATTCATTAGGGTTACCTCAACGCAGCTCTCTCAGGGTGTGGAGAGTGAATTCAAATGCTTCCCAAATATTAATTGTCTTTTCGTCACATAATAGTCTTTGTCTTTGCGTCCTTACTACAGAATCAAACACTGGGATTGAATGTGAAGTGTTACTTGTGTCTTCCATCTCCTCCTCCTCTCAGGTGCTGCCCGTGGTCGAGATGCTGTGGCATGGGTGACTTCCGTCCCCGCACCGTGTGGCTCGGCCACCCAGAAAAAAGGGAGCAGAGGTACCCCAGGAATGTCATTAACAACCAGAAGTACAACTTCTTCACCTTCCTGCCTGGGGTTAGTGCCAGTCAAAGGTCACCGCTTCACCTGCCCTTTGTTTAACCCCCTGAAGCCGTCATCCAGCTCTTTCCTCCTGGTCATGATTCACTGTCTGTTTGATCGGCACATTTTCAGAGCATCATAGGATATGTCTGTCTTAATTAATATTTTTTAAATCGTCCCTGTTGGTTGCTTGTAATGTAAGTATGCAAGGCATTGATGCCCATTTCAAATTATCCTGCTTCAGAGTATCAGGTTTGGCTTAGTTTGGCCTGCAGCTAGTAGTTATTTTTAGCATTGGTTGAAAAATGACAGTACTAATAAAAACACTAAATAGAGTAGGCTGTGATCTGGGGTCATCCACCATAACCAACTGTGAGTATTTAATGTCATGTTTTGTTAATCAACCAAAAGTCACTTTTACAGGAGTAAGCAATAAAAAAAAAAGCAGAAAATAGTGAAGTGTTTGTTTTATAAAAACAGCTGACTATAAAGAAAGTGACCGAGTGATGCATCTCCAGATAAGATCAGGTCCTTATGAATGACAAGTGCTTTTTTTAGTTCTTTAGTTTCCTATAAGAGTAGTGTAGTCTGTCTTTATGCTTACACTAAACCTAACCCAAAACATTAGATGATACATGTGAGGATATGAGAGATGCACTGTTTGTGCTGTCTTAGCCCTGATATGCAGGACGGGATTGTTTTGTGAATTCAATATTAATTACTTTATTCCGATTGCATCTAAGTAGTATAAAGAGATAATTCGCCATTTTTAAACAGTACAATGTTGCATATTCTAATGAATGAGAGATGCATCATAGTTTCAGCTTCCAGCTGACCAGCGCCTGTGCAGCACCAGGTCTTATACACGCACTTTCTTGATATTGCGTGACAGATGTGGCTTTGGTTGGATATTGCATGGAAGGCAGTTACCGAGCTATGTGCCTTTGATTTTTGTATTTTCCCTAACTTATTTACATATGCATTTGTTTTCCAGGCATTCAGTTGTCTTAAGATCTTATTTTTGCTTATGGAGTCAGACGTTGAAAGTAGCTCAGATTTGTTTGTAAAGCAAAAGACAAGAGCAAAGCCTTTTTGCATTGCAAATCAAGATGCTTTTTATTTACTTTGGTTCATGTGAAGAACTTCTTTTCTCTAGATCATATTTAAAACATATTTGTTGCTCGTGTGCTTTCTTTCCTCTTGGAGGAAAAGTTTTGCTGGTAGTAATCTCACACGCTGATGGTAATGAAACTGAGCAAAGCTGTAGTGTGTGTGTTGAATTTTAGACCGACGCTGGCAGATGAAAAGTAGCCATATGTGTTTGCACATTGCTCCATATCTGTTGGTTCATGAAAAGATTTGTCCGCCTAACTGAAAAGTGTACTTCTTTAGTAAGGGTGCGTGAGATGCTTATATGAGCTGTGAAATTATACACCTATAGATGCTGCCAGATTTGCTGCAATGCTACGTCTGTGGTTGGTTTTGTCGAATATTGTGTGTAAATGTGGACATTGTTGCAGTTAATTGTGGTGTTTTTAGTTCTAGATTAACATCTTTTAACTTTGATTTTTAATTCACTCAAAAGGATACGATTGCAGTGTCAGATCATTTTTATTCTTTATTAATTTAGCGTGTTAACAATATTGCCAGTTAAACTGCTATTTTTATTCAGACATTCAATGCTTTTTAACCTGCCAGCTATGTGGAAAAGATCCAGGTGATATCTGACTGTCCCAATTTATGGCAAAGGAAGACTACTGAAGATAATAGGCCAGCAAACTCACAGCTAGTGGTCTTCCTATGCCCTGGTATACTCCGATTGCATCGTCATCTCAACCAAGAGAGCATTTCCGTTAGAGAGAACAATGTCTTGCTGGGTGCTGCATGTCAGTAATAGTGAAAGATGAATCCAGCATCCGTGACGTCACTTAATTGAGGCCTTATTTTTAGTGTTTTGGATGCGCCCATTGTCGTTTTCGAAGGCTAAAAATCATCATGTTTGCATGAGAGGGTGGAGTGCTAAGTGCTGCATTTGTAAACTGGATGAGTAAAAAGTACTGATGCAGATACCTGATGATTTATAAAAGTAGAAGACCGATAAAATACAAGGATATCTCTCAACAAAGCTGAATCACAAACTTACTGGATGAGCTGTATGACAAAGCAGCTCATTTGCCAGAAAATCCTGTTTAAAGTAGAAGAGAGGTTCTGCTCAGTGAATTAACTGAGATGAGGCTGAGGAGACAGCAATCAGCTATAGCTGCTTGTGTGGGCACACTTGACAATCAAAGACTCCACAGCTGGGATTTTAAGACTTAGCAGCATCCAATATGGATGTGTTATTAAAAGATTCATGCAGCACACATTTGTTATGGAGGAAAAGCTACTGGTCGAGACCATAACCAGTTTTTGTTCAAGCTTGTAAACGTACTTTGTAATGTAATTCTTAAGATGGGAATTGACTCGCTTTTGTAGCCAGCCTCAAGTGGTCATTAGAGGAACTGCAGCGAAAACTGACATATTATACTTGTTGCACAAAACTAAACAAAAACACAGACTTTTGAGGGGGAAGGTTGTGACATGGGTGATGATGTATGGTTGAGGCAGTGAGTGAGCATTTTCCTGTTTTGTTTTTTTTTCTGGGAAATGGCAGCACATGTTATTTTTGGGTAAATTAAACCCTATTTAATATGAAAGCTGCTTTTATCTACTCCCTTATTCACAAGAGGTCCTCATATCTGAGCAGCATTTTAGCAGATTTTTACATTAGATGCCCTTCCAAACGCAGCCCCCGGGGGATTTGTGCCTCCTCCCGGGATCCAACTAGGGATTTTTTGCTTGCTAGGCAAATGTGTAGTACACCATGGAGCTCCTAAACCCTACTTAAAATAATACTTGGAATTCTGTTCATCACAGTCCTGGTTATTATTCTTTGTGGGAAAGCCAAAAACTGAAAATCGTGTATATTCAACAACAGCCTCCATATGCACGTTGCTTTGAGAAACTGTGAATATTTCACTCTTGATCCTTTGCCTTTTTGTTCTCAGGTGCTGTTCAATCAGTTCAAGTACTTCTTCAACTTGTACTTTTTGCTTTTGGCCTGCTCTCAATTTGTCGAGGAGTTACGCTTAGGTGCTCTCTACACCTACTGGGTCCCTCTGGTATGTGGCATTTCACTTACTGTTAATCATTAAGGTCAATCAGCTTCATTTTCCATTATTTGTGTTCCTCTTCAATGCTTTTTTAAAATGTACTTTTGCTGAAAATTAAGGTTTAGATGTTTCTTCTCACTTCCACGGTTGCAGCACTCACATAAACTTTATTAGTTACTTTTTCACCGTGACTTGTCACTCTCCAGGGTCTTGTTTTGATCATTACCATCATGCGAGAGGCAATTGAAGAAATTAGGTGCTACCTTCGAGACAAAGAAGTGAACTCTCAGATTTACAGCAAGCTTTCAACAAGAGGTAAGAACGGAAAGCTTAAGGAACATCTGCAGGTTTTACCTGCGTCGATTTCTGTGTTGCATTTTTGTTTTCTTAGCAAACATGTCTATTAACTGTAGGAGGTTAGTTCTGTTAAAACTTATTGGGGCTGGGGGAAATGGTGGGTAATTCAAAGCAGAGATGTAAAAGTGTACATAAGAGGCCTTGGTATAAAGTGCTACCAGCAATAAAAAGCATGGGACCTCTTGTGGTTTCCATCACTTTGCCTCTTTGATGTGGCAGCTTGTTTTACCCATAAACACAATGACTGGTTGCCTCCATGGTAGCAGCCCCTCTGCATATTTTGTGGTTTATAGAAACTTTATGGTGTCAGAACTCGGTGTCCTGGTTGCAGTTGTTTTGTCTAAGTTCCTTTAAATTGTATGTTTATGAATACACGTGCATGAGATATTGCCACATGATCAGTCAAAACCATCTAGAGCCTTTCATCACTTAATGCTTTTCTGCTAAAAGCTGTGGTGTGAAGTGTTACCGAATAAGTCTTTTTTGTGTTTGTGTGTAAAATGTAAAATGCATTTGTAGAGTAAAGTTCCATGAACCCGAATGCATAGCGATATTAATGTGCTTTAATGTCTTACATATGCAAAGCTCAGAGGTCACGGCAGAGTTCAAGGGTCAGTGATCTCTTCCAAACAATTTTGCCGTTCATTCCAAGTGGAATGAAAGAAAAGGCTCAACTCCCCCAGCATTCTTTCAAATCTTCATGGAGACTTACTTTCCCAGATTCACTCAGGTGACTAGTGAGCCATGCAATTCGCCCAGAGGTCTGGGTTTTGTGAAGAGATATTTGCTGAAAAAATACCACATTCTCTCGCTAGCTTATAATTAGGGAAACTTTTAAGACAAAAATCTAAATGTTGGGTGGTCTAGATTCCATTTAAGTTCTTAACTACACGACTCGCATAAAAATTTCAAATAGCTACGTGTATGTGAGACTTTAATCAACATTCAAACTTGCCAAACACTTAACTTTATGTTTTCTTCTGTATTTCAGGCACCGTGAAGGTTAAAAGCAGCGGCATTCAAGTCGGTGATCTAATAATTGTGGAAAAGGTTTGTTGAAGTTTTTTTTTCATCCACATCTGTGAATAGTTTTGCTTTTTAGACCTGTCAAGTTACCGTTTATATGACAGCTAGTAATGAGGGGGTTGTTAATCTTCTGTGCTCCGCTGGTGACTGAGGTGAAAAGAGTTAGTAAAGATTTTGTAATCTTGTGATCAATGCCGAGTGTCGGCCTGTCAGACTCGATGCGCGCGTCGCATACGTGAACATGAAATGCCTTTTAATTAGATCTGAAATACAAATTCAATTAAGCGCTTTAGTTTTATCTCGAGATTTCATTTATGGTTTCTAGTTCGATATCTGTGTGAGTTTTGGATCTGCTGTGTTGCTCGCCTCGCGGACAGACTGGAGTCCCTGAGGTCTTTGTACATGAAATGTGAGAAGCGTGTTCTGTCTTCAGTTTCCAGCGGAGGGCTTCTCTCTGAATCACTCATTAAGTGCAGTTGAGGGAAAGGTCACACATGTTGTCCTACACATTTTGCTAATATGACCGAGTGATTCCGAGTCATCTGGGTTACAATTCACAAAGTCATCGGTGGAGGTGATGGCAAAAGTTTTCAAATAAGTCTCACTTTGAAAAGCCATGCGCCTTGCTTTGTTAAACTGCTATTAATCACGTGAACTCATCTAAACAGTTAGATTTTGCCAAAGCGGTCAAGTGAATTTAATGTGTAATATCTTGAGTGAAATGGCCGGGTCAGGCTGAGTGTAAAAGCTGGCTTGGGTCCTTTTAGGGCCATGACAGAATGATTTGCTGAGGGGCTTAATATTTTGACTGACTGACTGTTGGTAATGTGGCACATGAAGTGAAAAAAAGTCACAAGAGCATAAGGAGGTAGAAGGAAAGTATAGAATCAGGATGTAAGGTTCACGCCATTTTTTTTCTTTCTGCCTTTCTTTGTAGAACCAGCGTGTTCCTGCTGACATGATCTTTCTAAGGACCTCTGAAAGAAATGGTAAACATCTGCCGGTCATTCATCCATATATCCACAACAGGCCGGCTGGGGAAATGAGTTGTTTAAAAAGGCGCTGAGGTGCAGGGATTAGCCCTGAGCTGCGACAGGAAGTCCTACATTGTATAAATCGGAACCGCGACCACTACTAAGTTATCACTCAAAGTTATGGTGGCGAGTTGCCACGGCCACATAGACAAAACATTGTTTGATTTTCATCTTCGTCTCTGACTAATTTTGTCTTTCAAATGAGAAGATAATGAAAAGGAAAATCAAGGGACACAAAAAAAAAAAATCTAATGCAAAGAACAAAAAGAAGACAAGAGGGGAAGATCCCTCATCTGAATAATCAAATATGGATTAGTGTATCATTTGTGAGAGATGACACCAAACATTGACTAAGGCGGTTTAAATTGAAATGCACAGGCTGCTGCTGTTTTATTTATAGCCTAGAAATCCAAATGTGACTAAGAAAGAAACGCTAGATGCTTGTTGTTGTTGCGTCTTCCTGTTGGGGGAAGAAAAACATCAACTTTGTTTTACTGGAAATAGTGCTCGGTTATCTCCCATTCCATGTGGAGGCCATTAGGTCAATTATGAAGGGCCTAGGATAGGATTTAGAGTTTTGGGCAGGATGACTCATGCTGGCCAGTGGGGGGGAAGGGCTCTGGTAGACGCTTCCACTTCTATCCCAACAGCAATAAACTGCTCCGTCCTGTTCCCAGTAGTCAGTGTTCATCTGTGACCCCATGTTAAAATAAATTCACACATAACATTAACTTAAAAAAATGGATGTTTATTAGAAAAGATGAGAATATGATGAACTCGCAGTCTAGCCTTCAGTATGGTTGATAATCTGTTGTAGGCAGTGAAGTGATCAATAATGGAGCTTATGAGTTTCCTTCTTTGAAATAAAAACCTTTCTGTTGTTGCCCCCTAGAGGTGACTGTTTTCATATGGCGTCAGTAGCAGCTCTTGTCCTCTCTTTTCCAGGCTCCTGTTTCCTGCGGACTGACCAGCTGGATGGAGAGACGGACTGGAAACTACGCCTCCCAGTGGCCTGCACGCAGAGACTACCAACTGCTGGCGTGAGTTGTAAACTGTAGACGGAGGCTGGCAGTAACGATTCGACTGGAAACTGAATGTTTGCCCTGTTGTTGTTTCTCTTTCTCTTTTTTTTTTATAACAACTAATAAATACAAGATTAATTTGAACTGAGAGAAACAAGTCTTTTATTTAGCCACTACATTCTAAGTTAAGTATGCAATCTAAACATTAAATTCATTAATAATTGTTGCATGTACAATGTTCTGCACCATGTAGGTCTTGTAAAGCCTTTTCTTTTCTTCTTCGGGTAATTTTAATTCATGTTGTCTAATCTCTCACAGGACCTTCTCCAAATCAGATCATACGTGTATGCAGAAGAGCCAAACATTGATATCCACAACTTTATCGGAACCTTTACCAGGGTAAGTGGTTGCATTGTTACGCTGAACCCTAATCTCCCTTCAGACGTGTTAATCTCATCTCCAACATCTGAGTCTTTGTCACTTTTATGCTCGAGCTGTAACAGAAACCGTGCTCGACTTTGCAGCACACAGTCTGAACTGAGTACAGTGATATCCGTGTTGTTAAATACCCCTCAACAGAAGGTAAAGCATGCAGAATGAAAGATGCTCATTGAAGTGTATTTGTGCTCTCAATTGTTGTCTTATAGAACACAATTTATTGGTTTCATCTATAAAAACTGCGAAAGTGACACTTTTAAGTTGTTGAATGTCTTATTTTAGATCAGGAGCCGTGATACAATAGTGACCTCTCCAGATTGTACCTCGCCTGTCGCCCAGTGATAGCTGGATTAGGCTCCAGTTTCAGCAACCCTGAATTTGATAAATGGTTGAATAGATATTAGATCAGACTTAAAAATGAGTTTCCTTAAAGTGTTTGAGGACCCCACCGCAACAATCACCCAGCTACATCGATAAAAGTTGAAATCCTGCAAAACCCTTAACATATAGCACACCCCAACAAGTAAAAGAGTCCAAATTTAACTTCCTAGCGCTTGCTGTGTTATATATTCTAAAACATTGAATGTCTTGATGCATGCTCAATCATCCAGGTAAGTAAATCTCCAAAAGTTGATTCTGTTCATCTGACGTAGCGTTTTGTGGGAGAAATGTTTCGTCACTCATCCAAGTGACTTCTTCAGTCTCAGCTGACTACTAAAACATTGAATGATAAAACCGTTTAATAGGTTATCTGTGGCTCAATTAGGAGAAGCAGGGACAAGCTGGTTTCTGTCCTTAGTAATCATTCTGCATGTCTGTTGTATCAACTGTTACAGGAAGATGGAGACCCACCAGTTAATGAAAGCCTCAGCATTGAAAACACCCTGTGGGCGAGCACTGTTATTGCCTCTGGTAAATATCTGACTGGTGGTGCATCTATAAAGCTGTTAATATCCAAGTAACCAGGACCTGCGTGTTCACTAAAGCACTGATCCTTCATAGCTGTTGATTTGATGGTGTATCTAATCAAATCTACACTCTGGGAAAAAAGCCCAATGAGGTAGCCCTTTCTAAAAACGCAAAGGCACCGCTAACTATAATTGTAAAGAAAGTGTGCTTCGTCTGTGGGAGAGTGAATCCACTTTAACCGGCACAAGCATGTGTTGTTCATTAAGCAATTAGAAATCTGCGTCCTCCATTCAAAATGTCATTCTTCATTTGGAAAAATCTATTCATGTCAAGATTATAAGTCTGGAAAACATCTTCCTGACATGCTGTGTTTTATGTTGTACCTTTACTATATTGCCCTGAGGCCGTTTTTTTTTTGGTCTTTTTTTTTTTTGTCTCTGCCTCACTTACTCCAGGCACAGTGGTGGGGGTCGTGATTTACACAGGCAAGGAGCTGCGCAGTGTCATGAACACCTCCAACCCTAGGCACAAGGTACAGTAGTGTAAGCCAGAGCTGGAAGACAGAAGTCTGATCATTTAATTACATGAAGGTGTTTTTCCTAGTATGTGTTTTTTTTTTATACAGTTTATGTGTGATTGGATTTAACTTAATTATTCAGATAAATTAATTTGTTCCTTCACTTATTTACATTTTGTCAGTAAATAGATCTTTTATATTTACAGTAAGTAGATGCTTTATGTTTGCTTCTCTTATAGGTTGGTTTGTTTGACCTAGAGGTGAACTGTTTGACTAAAATCCTGTTTGGAGCCCTGGTTGTGGTGTCACTGGTCATGGTGGCGCTCCAGCACTTCGCCGGCCGTTGGTACCTGCAGATCTTTCGCTTCCTGCTGCTCTTCTCCCACATTGTGCCCATCAGGTCCGACTTAACGCTGTTTCTTAATGGCATCTGCAGTGCTGTGTTATATTTACATGTGAGGAATGAAAAATTGCGTGCTTCCTTGTTTTATCTGATGCAGTTTGCGCGTAAATCTGGATATGGGAAAGATGGTTTTCAGTTGGATGATTAAGAAAGACTCAAAGATCCCTGGGACAGTGGTGAGGGCAAGCACCATACCTGAACAGCTCGGACGGATCTCCTACCTGCTGACTGACAAAACGGGTAACCTAGCATACCGTTTTTTGTTGAGTTAGTTGAGGAGTAACACGAGAGGATAAAGTGGTGAGGATTTTCCTAGGAGGTATTCTGTAAGACAGAGTTTAGCTGTTTCCTACCCTGCGGCGTTGCTATGCGGTGGGTTTCTTGCTCCCTGAGACCAGCTACTTACAGGACCTTTAAATCATAAAAAATCAAAGTCTCTCATCTATACACACCTTTAGAGCATAACACCTCCAGCAGTGAACTTCCACAGGCAGGAGGTGTTACTTGTCAGATTTACAGCCCTCATGCCTAATAAAATGATCGGCCATTTCCACATCCAGAGAGCGATAAGGCCAGTGGGGTCTGCAGGTCACACTAATGTATGTGGAAGTCCCCTGAAGTCTTTTTGATATACTGGCAGAAATGCTTTTAAAGTAAGTGTGAGGATACAGAGGTTGTGTGTAGTGTCAAATGCTTCTGGCATTTTTCTGGTCACCATATGTGGCTGTTACAGGTGACTGATTGTTGTTTGTTAGTTAGATAATTGAATCTTTACAATAGGGTCATAATTTGTGCTGTCAAGCGTGATAACTTTTACTGTTTAAATGTCTGTAATGTGACTTTCAACAGGAACTCTTACCCAAAATGAAATGGTGTTCAGACGGCTCCATCTTGGAACTGTGGCATATGGGATGGACTCAATGGATGAAGTACAGAGCCATGTGTTCAGTGCCTACACGCAGGTGAAAGGTGTTATCTTAAGAAGAAAAATTACTAAATTGAGCAAACTGTGTCCCAGTATTCAGAAGAGGAGATTCAAATTTAAAAAGCTCTTTTTTAGAAAATGTATCAGTTTGTGATTATTGTTCAGCTGAATGCTTCCTGACCTCAAATGACATTCTTTATCCCTCTTGACACCAGAGGTTAGTAGAGCAGGAAACAGGATTAGCCCACAAGCGAAGCACTGACCGGACTCCTTTAATGACACCATCATTAACCCTGAGAACATGCAGCCTTCTAAAAATAGCAAATTCACAACGCAGAAGCAAATAGTTCATATTTAGTCTACACATCTGGTTATGTTTACAGGCTGCTAACATAGCGATAATGGAAACTGTTGAAATGAAGAAGCTAGTTCTTCAGTCTGTGAAACATTTCAAGTGTTAATGCAGCTTCCTCACAAACTCTCAGTCACTAGTGGCCCATGGTTTTTTGATCTTTTTTTTT